TCTAATCTACTCTAATCTAATCTAAATAACTTAAAATCAACAACACTGCAAACACACCGTAACATGAAGGGAGCCTCTGAGGGGGGGCTGAACATGGTACTCACATCTGCAGCTGGGTCGACTGTAGAACCTCAGCACCACCGCTGACAACACTGACTTCAAAGGAAGCAGCTCAGATCGTTTCATATTTAGCGTCAGTGATGTGGGTTTGTGGACCCGAAGCACTGCTCAGTGCCGAGTGTCTCACTTACAGGAAGCTGATGTGCTCTGACTGTAGTGTTCTCCATATGAAGTGCTGTGCTCTTCACCTCCCGTCCTGGACTTCTTAAAGGACCCAGATCACTACTCAGTAAACTTATTATTACAAACTCAATGAGCACTAACACCCAGCTGGTAGCTCAACCCGGTCCAGCTCAGTGGTCGTGTTGCTCGGCACATGAAAGCTAGAAATCATCACATATCAGAGGAGTTCCAGCTCACGCTGCTGGAGGACCTCTGGTCTGGATGTCCTGCTCTCACAGTGGAGGTCATCTGGAGAGACAGTGGGATGATCTCACAGCGCCTCACATTTTATATTCACTTTACTCTGAAACAAACTGAAAATGGTGAAAATACCAGATTACAGTCTAAAGACTGGTCCAACAACACCTTTGCTCTGCAGTGTAGAACAGAGCAGGAGTGAGCAGTTTATCCAGACCTGAATGACTCACCAGGTAACAGCTCAACCTGACACATGAGGGGACCGTTCACACGCTAACTGGCTGAGGTCCTGTTGGACCACCACATGGTGAAGGAGCTGAGCAGCTCTGTGGACGACGTAAACGGATCAGCTGCACGTTAATCATTCACCTGTGTTCCAGCCAATCACTGAGACGCCTTCAAATAAAACAAGTCACCTGCTCAGCTCCCCGAGTGTCTCCACCTCAGACACCTGGTGACACGTCAAGTCTTCATGTACTATGTAGGCCTTTATGAGCTGCAGAGTCCCCGTCTACGAGTCCCTGTCTACAGGTCCCGATCTACGAGTCCCTGTCTACAGGTCCCGATCTACGAGTCCCTGTCTACAGGTCCCGATCTACGAGTCCCTACGAGTCCCTGTCTACGACTCCCCGTCTAAGAGCCCCTGTCTCTGCTGTCCTTTTGACAAACTCTAACCCTACCAACCCATCTGCTGTAGTTTGGACAACCCGAACCCTACGAACCCGTCTGCTGACACTACGGTGAGCTGGACCTGAAGCCTGAGCAGAGCCCAGCTGAGTCCCTCCCGCCCTCACCTCTTTGCTTTTCGCAGGATTCCCTCCGTTCGGGATTTCCTTCACTGCAGACTCATCAGGAATGTTCTCGCTCTTCTCTGGCTCCGACATCTCTCAGCGCGTCCGACGCAACTCTTCCCAAAACTTTTTCAGCGCTTCGGAAAGTCGACCTCCTCCTTCCAGCAGCAGATGTCGAGTCCGAGTGTTTGTGGTGGAGCAGGAACCGGTCCAGCTAGTCTTTATTCCTGCAGCTTGTTGTAGACGTCAGCACACAGCGTCCATCTCCCGGGACACTCATCAGATGTTTGCTGTGAGCTCCGAGCCTCAGACCGCCTCCATCCTGAGCAGAGTGCGGACCGGGCGGCGGGCTGTCCTACTTTATAGCCGCTGCTGCTGCTGCGTTCACGTAACCGCGGAAATATGGTCTGAAAGGAGGTCGAGAGGTGGTGACGAGCGTGTGAACCTTTAAAGCAAAAGCTGTCAACTCGGAGATGTGAACAGAGATAAATATGAACTAACATTCCCCACAAACAAGCAAATGAACGTTTAAACTGAAGGACTGATCCGAGCTCAGCTCTCTGAACCATGTGCTGCTCATCTCCTCATCTCTGTGTCTGGGTGCCAGGTCTGATCTGCTGCTGCTGGTTCCACCAACCGGACCAGTGATCCTGTTTTCTGGTTGCTCACCCTGACCCGTCCACACAGGTGTCACCTTCTCTGAGCCTGGTTCTGCTGGGCTCAGAGGGAGTCACTCCTCTCCACCTGCACCTAAATGTCTTGTAGGGTCTTAACCATTTTCTATACACCGCTTAATCCTCACCAGGGTCATGGGGGGCCTGGAGTCTATCCCATCTGACTCAGGGTGAAGGCAGGTTCACCTGGACAGGTAACCAGTCTATCACAGGGCTACACTTAGAGACAGACAACCAAGCACACTCACATTCACACCTACGGACAATTTACAATCACCAATTAACCTCAGCATGTTTCTGGACTGTGGGAGGAAGCCGGAGAACCTGGAGAGAACCCATGCTGCACGGGGAGAACATGGAGACTCCACGCAGGAAGATCCCGGGTGTCCTCACCGGGACGCCAACCGGCGACCTTCTAGCTGCGAGGCCACGGTGCTAACCACTGCGCCAGCGTCTTAACCTTCATTTTTAAATTAGTGTGTTTATATGAGACAATATACAACAGTGTCAAGTACCTGAACTGCTCACACACATCTGCTTAGATTATACAAATGTGAGGCTGCAGGTGTCTCGGTGGTTAGCGAGCTGTGTTTGACGACCTGACTTTATTTCTCAGGTTAATTCACATAATGAATAATACGGTAGAGCTGTGACCTCAGTATTCAAACTTTTAATTTAATTCTAGTTGTTGTTATGCCGCTTTCTGGGTATCCAGCCTTAGTGTATCCAGTACTGTGTAAACTAGAAAATAAATAAACTAAAATTATTATTTAGATTTAAAATAGCTGCATTTCAAAGTTTTCATCTAATGTAGAGCTGTGTAGTAGATGCATGTTTTATTTTAAAGAAGAAGAAAAAAAGGATGTTAAAAGCAAGGAAAGTTTAAGAAATACAATGTATGCATGAAAAAAGCAAACAAGGACCTGGAAAACACCTGGAAAACACCTGGAAAACACCTGGAACCAGAACATGTTGAATATTTTGCATTTAGTCCTGACAGAAACAACCGGTCAATGAAAAGTCACAGGCCTGGTCGCTGCAGCTCTCTGTCTCTATTCTTCATTATTTCACATTATTTCTAGTTATTTCTTCTCTGTCTTCTTCTTACTGGACCACAGGATCTTTCTCTTCATGTGTTTTTGTAACCTGGATTTTTTTCCCTCACATTTCTTGGAGACCTGAAGGCAGCACGAGGCGTCACGTGACTCAGCGGCAGGATAACGGAAACGGACGGAGCGACCCGAAGACGCGGAGCCGAGATCCAGGCAGGAGGAGGGTTCTGTTGGTGCTGAAGGAAGAGTCCGGTTCTGAGCAGCTCCAGCAGCTGCTCGGCCCGCTGTCAGGTCACGTGACTCATTGTTATGAAGCTTCAGCAAATCAATCAGTAATTAAATAACTGCTCCAGACTAATTAGCGTCATATCAGTCCGTCTTTCTATTGGATGGCGTTCACCTGGTTGCTATGACTACAGGCAGCCTGTATGGACTGACAGGATGATGTCAGATGAACATGTATGGTTATATTAGTCATGCATAATGTGCCATATACATATACATATATATATATAGTAATTTACTGTTATTTTATTGTTGTTACTTTTAGTTTTAGAATCACACAAACTCTGGCCTGTTGTGCTGTGGAATCTTCACTTTACCCCACGGATGCTGCCGGTCGCCCGCCGTGGCCTGTAAATGGCTTTTCCCGCCTGTCCTCTGCCTGTTGTTCATGTGGCAGCGAGGCGAGCCTGCTGCTGCTGCTGCTGCTGTGTGTTCTCTAGTGCACATGACTTCACTTCTGAGGGTCAGGGTTGTTCTGCCGTTTAGTTTCTGCAGCTGTACAAGTCGGCAACTGACAGCAGATTCTGTGAACGTTTTTTATCGTCTATCAACGGAGATCGCCTCCAAACAGATCATCAGACAGCGCAGTGGAGAAGCCATCGCTACACCCACATGGAGAAGTTGAGCTCCGTGAATGTCAGAACATGACCAGCCTTCAGACACTCGATATAAACGTCGCTTGTTGTTTAGTTGGTTGTCATAGTTACGTCCTGACTCCTGTCTCCCAACTGTTTGACTTCCAACATGATAAATGATGAGTCTTGCTGTCAGACCTTCTGTTTCTTGTTGACCAATCAGTTCATTGGTTGGCGGCTCTGAGGGCTTGTTTCTGGTTGACCCTGTGGTCATGTCAGTGAGGGCTGAGCAGGCAGCTAACAACGGGCCTGTTCGTGGTCTCCAGTGTTTGAAATAGAAGATTCACATTTTTATCAGTTCAGATCTTCATCCGTGGTGGTTTAGAAAGAGGACAACATGCTTGTAGGTCCTTAATCAGGAAATCCATCCAGAGCAACAAAAGTGAAGCAGACTTGTGTCCTCTGAACAAAACAATATAAATAGATAAAATACAACGAGACAGAAACTAGGTGCATCCTGTCTGTCTACATGTAGCAGCTCCAGTTAGATGATGAAGCAGAATCCTTTCCCTGGTCAAGAAAACCCCTTTAGACCAGCTGGCCAGGTCAAGAACAGTCTCCAGGAGGTCGCAGTATCGGTGTCCAAGTCAACGATCAAGAGAAGACTTCACCAGAGTGAATACAGAGGGTTCACCACAAGGTGTAAACCACTGGTGGAGCTCAAGAAACATCTAAAAGAGCCTGTGCAGCAACATCCTACGGACAGATGACAGAGATCAACTTGTACCAGAATGATGGGAAGAGCAGAGAATGGAGAAGGGAAGGAGCTGCTCCAGGTCCAAAGCATAGCAGCTCCTCAGTGAGGCATGGTGGGTAGTGTGATGGGTGGGCATGTATGGCTGCCATGGAACTGGTTCTTATATTTATTGATGAAGTGACTGATGTGGAGCCAAAGGCTTCAGAACTCATTGGACGGTGCTTCACGGTGCAGATGGAGAACGACTTGAAGCTACTGCGAAAGCAACCAAAGAGTTCTTTAAGGTAAAGAAGTGGGATGTTCTGCAACGGCCAAGTCAGTCACCTGACCTGAATCCAGCTGAGCAGGCATTTCTTTTGCTGAAGACAGAACTGAAGGGAAGGTGCCCCAAGAAGCAGCAGGAAGTGCAGACAGCAGCAGTGGATCCTGGCAGAGCATCACCAGGACCAAACCCAGCATCTGCTGATGTCTGTGGGTTCCAGGCTTCAGGCTGTCAGTGACTGCAAACGATTTGCAACCAAATACTAAAAGTGACCATTTGATTTATGATTATTTTAGTTTCTGCAATAACTTTTGGTTCCCTAAAAAGATGGAGGGCACATATAAGATGTGTTGTAGTTCCTACACCGTTCACCTGATTCAGGTGTAAATAGTTGAAGCTGAAAGTCTGCTCTTGAAGCACATCTCGATAGTCTGACACCATTTTCAGCATTTTGGCTCCGTGCACCACCACATGGATTTGAAATAAATGTCCACATATTTATGGAGCTGACTGTAGGTGCAGAGCTGCTCTGCCAGCTGAATCTGTTCCTCTCCGGTGATCTCAGCAGAACTCTGAGCAGGTTGGAGGGAACAGGGGGAACTTTGTCACCTGCTCTTCAAGCTGGCTGTTGTGTCGGTGGGCTGCAGTACTTCTGCAGGCTGAAGGAGTCACAGTTCCTGTTATGAGAATGTCGCTTTATGTATTTTAGTCTGTGTTTGGACACCGCAACAGAAGCCTAGTGGCATGGAGGGGTCGGCATACGTTGGGAAACAGGGAAAGCCGTACTACTAAAATAATTTCATTCTCCGTTGATAAAAAGAATAAAAACAAGAACTTAAACACAGCTTTGATCCCATTACTCCCTAAACCCAGTAAAGACCCAACACCCCTCAAATTACCGCCCAGTCTCTCTCATTAATGTGGACATAAAAACTATCAGTAAAGCCTCAGCTCACAGATTAGAAACAGCATGACCTCACATCATTCCTCCAGCTCAGACAGGTTTTATTAAAGAAAGGCAAGCAGCCAACAACACTCATAGGCCATTCAATTTAATGCACTTTTCAAAGGTGTTAATACTTTGAAAACACAGCACAAGATTTTGTTGTATGCAGACGATATTCTGCTCTTCTTACAAGATCCAAAGTCATCCATCAAAGACACAGTTGTCACTACTGAGGCCATCAACTGGAACAAGCCTTCATAGTTCTTAGTGATTAATTCTCCCCAGGCTGTCAGAGCTGTTCTGGTTCAACTTTACACCACTACTAGCAACCACTGAGGAAGCCCTACAGCGCTGGATCTGTCACGGTTTGGCGAGCAAAGGCTCAGGCGCAGTCAAAAGACACAACCACATAACGCAGAATCAAAGAAACACAATTTATTTGACAAACAATGATTCAAAACGACAAACTCAGGTTCCCAAAGGGACCGATGACATAAGCTTCAGCTAACAGATACAACTAGAGTATTACCAAAACGTCCTCTAAAGGACAACAAACTATACTTACGATTAAATCAAAAACTTACCACACAAATACTAACCTATCAAATACTAGTACCAACCGAGTAGGTGAGAGACGAGAACAAGTGAGGGGGAGCCGGAGGTGGACCAGGTGTCTTCAGCAGAGGGACACAGAGGACATGGAGGGCTGGAGCCTGAGGAGTCCAACGGAGGGGAAACATGAACGAAGAGTGGATGAGGGGTTGGGGGAGAATGAGGCGACACTGAAGCACAGGAGAATAGAGTGAGAACAGGAATCAAAGTACCAAGCAGAGCATGCAAAGGAGAACGAGACTAACACGGTTTTACAACGATCCGGCGTCGACTTGTGGCTGCTGGCGTCTTAAATACTGCATGAAGGTCTGAGAGTGAATGGCAAGCCACGCCTCGCCACAGCTGGACCAATCGGCTGATAGCACCTCACAGCACCTGGTCACTGTCCCTCCGGCTTGTTACACAGGAAAAGATGAAGCAAAACCAAAAGTGCTCCACTAGGTGGAGCCAAAGGCGGAGGGCATGTCAGGATCAACCGACCACTCTTTATGGGCAGAATAGCTTTCATCAAAATGAATGTTTTACCAAAAAATAAATGATTTATGTTCAATGATTCCAACTCATCCCACATGACTCCATTATCACTCAATTTTATTGGAAAAATAAAACTCACCACTTCACAAAAATCCAAGTCCTGAGGAGGATAAGAGGCGCCACATTTCCACAATTCCTCACAGAGCAGATACAGCGCCTACACCAATGGACCTGCCCCGCTCACTCAGACACCGTAAGGGCAGATACTGAACAAGCACTTCACAAAGACATCATCTTCTCACATGTTTCTCAGCCAGTCTTTGGAACAACACCAGCTTCAAAGCAGTGACAGTAGCTTCATCTCTGACCGCTTGGTGGAAATGTCACATCACAGAGTCCATACTTGGCCCAACGACTTCCAGCTCGTCTGGAACAATCCAATCTTTTAAGTAAAAAACACTGACTTTCTGCACATGGGCTGTTCACGGTGTTACACATTTCAAGCACATTTTTCACTCCAGTACACTGGTTAGATGTTCAGATCTGGTTCAGAGGTACGGCATCCAGAGCAATGAACTTCTTACATACGTACAGCCAGTGGCGGCTGGTCGATACGCCGCCCCACTGCTCACGACCAGATAAAAAGTAGTTCTCAAATACAATATTCAGTTTGAAGTGATCATAACTAAACAATGACAACATTAATAAAAACATTCTTATTCTTTAGCCATAACAACATTTGCAGTATTAACAGATTTAATATCAGTCTTTACTGCGTGTTGACTAATTCTGCACTTCCTGGATGCGGCGCGGCCTCATCAGTGTGTATGTAGCTGGAAAGGCTGTTCGTGATCATGTGACCTCGGCCACAGAGACGAGTGACTAAACCGAACAGTCAGAGAAGTTAGCAGAGAGAGAGAGAGAAGAGCCAGTTGTCTGTTGAAATAGCTCCAGACTGCATCTGCGACCTTCTTTTCTTGTGAGTGTGAACTGATGAGCCTGATGGTCATGAAGCTGAATGAGTGTCGCTGGAGCCGCCACAGGAAGCTGCTGTTCACCACAGGGTGGAAAGTAGGACTTCAAAAACTTTGGTGCACCGCAGGATTTACACCTAAAAATGAGGTCTTGCATCGCTGTTTTTGACGGCGTGTAGAATGCATGTAACCCGGTTTAACGTCGGACAAATCTGACATCAGAACGCCCACTTTATGTTTACAGTCATTTTTTATCAGAGCAGCACAGCCACCAGCAGCAGCTACCAGCCTGCTGTGTGGGGCGTTCAGGGAGCGTCAGGAAATCCTCTATCCATAAGAACATGTTCAGCCAGTCACATGTTCTGCCTTTGACCAGCTGGGAGGTGGGACACAATGAGGAAGTGGGTCGTACCGGTGCTGCCAGTGACAGAGTTCGTCTGGAGCCCTGAACAGTGCTTTTTCATTATTTCTGTCGTGTGTTGTGAGTTTGCACAGATCCTGTAACTACTGATGAAAGTCTGATGAATGGTTCTGAAGTTTAGTTCTGGTCGGTCTGAATGATGTTAAATTAGACTAGGACTAGAACATCCTCCAGAGGTAGAACATGTACATTCCTGTAAATAGTTGATGTTCCTCATATTCTAATTTAAATAAAAAGTTATTTGCAGACTGCCGCCCACCAAACACGTTCGGCAGCCGCCACTGCAGAGCAACAGTTTGTTGTCCACCATGCTCCCTCTGCTGTAGAGCAGAAAACCTCCAGCTCATCAGCATCAGCATCAGTGTCTTAACTGTTGTATTGGGGCAGCACTTTAGTTTTCTGCCTGAAGGTTAAACTGACATTAGATAAACACATTTTTGCGGGAGGTAAAAAAAAATTATGTAAAAGAGATGAGGTGAGGAATTCAAAGAAAGGTCTATAAACTGATTCAGAACTGGATTCAAACTGACTGAATGCTACCGAACCACATGTGCACTCTGTTGTCCAGAGCCTGTAAAACCCATCAGGAAGCTGCCTGTGGGACGTGTTCCTCCTTCACCATGAACTGACTCAGTC